TTCAAAAATTGATCCAAGAGGCAAACAAAACAATTTGGTTAGAATTCTATGCGAATGCATATTGTCATGCCTTGCACGACTACACTTCTTATGTCTGAGGTAAGATGATTGACTAAAGTGTTAATGCTACTAACATTTTACTTGATTTATGTCCTTTAACACTGTGAGGAGTACAACACCAAAGAGCTAGCATAAGCATCATATTGGAGGAAAGGTGGGGAGAAATTAAATATGAGCTATGTAGAATTGGGGCAAGATAGCATGAAAGGTATGGAGTCAAGCAAAGACTTTGTATAGCATATTTGCACCCAATTTCCAAGTCATGGCCATCATTTATTATGTCCTTTAACACTGTGAGGAGTACAACACCAAAGAGCTAGCATAAGCATCATATTGGAGGAAAGGTGGGGAGAAATTAAATATGAGCTATGTAGAATTGGGGCAAGATAGCATGAAAGGTATGGAGTCAAGCAAAGACTTTGTATAGCATATTTGCACCCAATTTCCAAGTCATGGCCATCATTTATTATGCAAGCTCTAGAGGTGCATCAAAAGTATTGAAGTTCATTGTTAAAAGAGTTCTGGCTCTTATGGCAATGCTTCTTGTTGGCTCAACAAATGTTGGGTGATTAATTTTAATAAAAATATCAAAACCATGGTAGATGCACCACAACCTTATTATGGTCATTTTTGTATTATTAACAATTTATGTAGATTAGCTGGAGTGGAGAGTCAAAGAGAAGATGATTGACAACCTGCAATGGCTCCAACCTACAACATCCTCATGCGCAGGGTGCCAACTAAGCGGGTTCAAGGTTACAAGCAAGAAGGCGCACAAGTAGAAACACAAGAGGGAACTCATAACGAATCATATCTTCTAGAATATCATGCATAACATCAAGCTTTGGAACACCAACAAAAAATGGAGGAATTCACACTCAGGATGGCAGATTAGCTCACCACTGTCTCACCCAACACTACACAAATGTTCTCAGCTTTGTTCAAAATTTTCAATAATTTTTAAACTATTCAAGAGAATATCTCCCACCTTAAAATTCGAGTCAATGGCTCCCTGCATAACTGGCATTGGAAAACTATTTTCAAGAGTTAAACCGTATGATCACTTATACACAGGATGAGATAAGAGCTACTTGGGTTAGAGAAGATCAAGAGATGATGGAAATCTTAGCAGCTATGGGACATTTCCCACAATTCGGTCATTCCAATGATTAGTGATTTGGGCATTTCAAAATCGTTCTATTTATTTTGTTACTTCCCTTTCATTATTTCAATTAAGTAATTGTATTTTGAATTTATAAGTAGGAATTTTATTTTAACTTCTTTCCCTATTTATAAACTACATGTTCTTCATTTAAGTACTAAATTTGTCCAGTGTTTTCTTAGTGCGAATTATTTGAGCATACTAATGACTAAAAAGAAAGACACAAGAAGAGAAAAATAAAAGAGAAAAGAAAGCAGCATTTAAACTTAAGTTGCAAATGTGAATTGACAACAGTAGAAGATGGATGATTTTTTAACAATATTGTGTTCAACCTTATGATACCTTTACAAGTAAGATTTATGCCAAATTTTCCATATTTTTACCATTTCCTTGTAATGAGTGTTCATATGACTGTACATTTACTAGGACTTGCATTGTTGCTGAATTGTTATCTGTTTATTTAATTACATGTTGAGGCGTGTTTTTTGTTTTAAAACTTAGAATCTTTCTTAGGTGTCCTCTTAAATCATTTATCATTTGTTAAACTCTTTTATCTTGAGTCATTCTTTCGGTGAGTTAGCCACATTATTAGCCTATCAACTTGAAAGATTTATCTTTCACCCTCTCTTTGGAGTTAGATGTATTGATTTTCTAGGTGATACAAGAAGTTAAGTTTGGGGTTGTTCTTGAAATTAGTAGCATTTAAGTTTGGGGTAATGGTACTAGAAATCTTGAGTCATATAAAAATTGATGAAAAAGAAGTATGAAATAAACAAAATTGTTAAGTTATAGCTTCTGAAAGGAAAAAAAAGAAAAGAAAGAAAAAATAACTCAAGTCTAATACCCAATTGTAATAAGGAGAACAAAAAAGATGAGATGTTTAGAAAATTAGCAAGTACTAAACTCCAAAGAATTAAGCCTACTGACCAAAAACAAAAATTCTACCCTGACATAAGCCACATTACAACCTTTGAAAGACCTCAAAAGCGTGTTTTCAGATAGAATGTGATATACTTTTTACAAATTTTACAAGTTCATATGTCTGATGTCAATTATGTGTGGACGAGCATACTAAAATTTCCAATTATGAGTGAACTGGTGAGATTGTGAGAAAGTTTGAGTATGGAGAAAGTTGAAGAACATTTCTTGGAAAATGTTGAATTGAAGCAAGTGATGAAAATAAAGACTCTGCGAGCATTGGTGTCTGTCATTGGTTTGGTAAGAATGATGTTCTGAAATTTACAGGTAGGAATGAGTTACTTAAGGACAAGCAATAATGTAAGTTTGGGATTGTGATGACACTATATCAACACATAATGTTTACAACATTTTGTTTGTTGTTTTATTAAGTTTAATCTCATTTGGGTTAAGTTTGATTAGAATTTACTATGTTTTTGAATAAATGGAAGAAAAAGGAAGAAAGAAGAAAATATGAAGAACTAGTGTGAAAATGAGCAAATTTTAGACAATTTAGCATTGCATTTATTGCATTCCATCGTGGCACGATGCACATCTCATCGTGGCGTGATACATTAGCATCGTGGCACGATGCCACGTGGAGTCTAACGCATTTTCAACTTTATAAAGGGATTTCCGCACACTTTTTGAGGATCTTTGGATGGCAACCTAATTCTGAAATTTGAGAAATACTGTAGAGTTCTGGAGCGAAGGTTTTCACCATTGGAAGCCGAATTCTAAACAGTAATTCATGTATCTTTCCTTTATGAATTATCTAGTTATAAGCAACTAATTTTCTTAGGTTAGGTTTCGTTTAGATGAACCTGTATTGATTTGTTGAGACCATATGTTAGGTCTTTGTACTATTTACGCTTTTGATTATTCAACTTTGTAAGTGCTCTTGATTGGCTGCATTTTGTGGCAAAACATTAGAGTTTGCGTGTATGTCATACTGAATGTTAAGACATACATAATGATGTGTGTGCAGGGTAAGTTAACTATAAGTTAAGCTGAATGTCATACAGAATGCCATGACACTGACCGTATGACATCCAGCGAGCATGTTAGTTTTTCTGGTATTTAGAAATCAGGAAACAAATCAGAAGCTCAAGCTGAAAGACAGGAGACATTTTAGAAGCCCTAAAGCGAAACAAATGTCCCTGAATTAATTGGAAAAACGTGCAGATGATTGAAGAATATGGTTTGTTATGAATAAACCTAATTTATGCACCAAGGCCTAAAGGACTGAATGCTGCTATAAATATCAGAAGGAGCAATCCTAGAAAAGCAGCTCTTGACAGAAGAATAGAGAGTGCATATTAAAGAGTCCTTGTGAGTGAAGAAGGTTGTTCTTCACGTGAGTATTGTGAGTGAAGAAAGTGTGTTCTTCACGTGTGAATTGAGTCTTAGAAATACTTGTTTACCAAGCAACTGTCTGCTGCATTGGTTAGGTAGGTTCTAGGTTGTTGTGTCACTCAAAGCTTTTAAGCAAGAGTGTGTGATCCTTGATCAAAGCTGTGAAGCAAGATCAAGGTGTGAGGTTGAAGTGTATCTTCATAATTTTCTGTAACTATAATTGGATATCACTGTGGTGTGATTGAGGGGGAGTGAGTGCGTATACTCAGGTCTAGAGTGTCTCTAGGTTGAAGTGTCATCGGGTAGGTTTTAAGTGAGGAGTGTAAACTGGAGGTTTAACTCTGAATTAATTCTGCTGATAGTGAATTTCCTCCCTGACTTGGTAGCCCCCAGATGTAGGTATTGTTGACACTGAACTGGGTGAACAATTACTGTGTTATTTACTGCTTTTACTTACAGTTTAATTAGTTAGTACAGTAGTCAATGTCACAGTGGATGTTATAACTTTGGCAATAATATTCATCGTGTGTTTGTCAGAATTTCAAACTTTTTATTCGGTTAATATTTGTGTTTAAAGGTTTACATGCGTTTATGAATGTCCATCTATTGATTCAGATTGATGTTCTATATTAACCCTAATTGTGTGAACGAAATCTAAGTTAAATATTCAACCTAATAATTGAGCTAGAGATAGAAAATTGTAAGGTTGTGACTTAAGATTTAACAAATGAACGTCGCCTACTTTAACTTTTCAATTTGCCTAAGAGATTAGAGGATTATAGCTTATAAAAGTGAGATATACACCAAGAGGTTTGGTGTACTGACTTAGTTAGACCGTCATGGTAATTGAATTAATCATCATAAAGGTATATAGGCGCTAGCATCAACAGAGACATACAAAGGATACGAGACAAAATATAATCGACTCTCGCATCTTGATAACCTTTTTTCGCTTTCAAATTCAAAAACCCTCCGTTGTTACTTTTAATTCGCACAATCGTACACTTTGTTAAATTAGAATCCTCGTAGAGACGATCTTTTAAATATTACTTCAACATTATTGGTATACTTACCGAAAAATAATCTTTAGGTTTTACAAGTAAACTCTTCTATCTCTATAATAGAGAAGAAGGAAACCATTTATACAAAGGCTTAGCAGCTATTCTAAAACCAAAGAGAGGCAAAACAGAAAATTAATTACTATGCTGAAAGTGACAGCTAATAACAGGATAATCTAACCAACTAATTAATCTAAGGTATCATTATGTGATAAACTCTTCCCTTGAACAAGAAGAAAATATCCCTGCTGTACAATTCCCTGGACAAGCATGAAATTTTTTCTTAGCAACATCTCTCTTTCTATATCCAACTATACTCTTATGTAACTTGAATGCTAACAACATCTCAATTTACAATTAAATAAATAGATAATAATGACATTTAGTAAGAAAACTCAAGAAGCACTTTATGCTACAATCTGCTCTGCCCAGGGTGATGACAAATGTTTATAGAGATCATAATTCTGCTTCTTAGCACCAAATATCTCAGAACTCTCGGAAGAAATCAAAGAATGAACCCAAGAGACATCCGGTTCAACATACTCTGGCTGTGACACACCTGCCATGTTATTTCTAAATCCAAAAGAAGCAGATTTTTTGAACTTGTTCAGATCATCCCCATCATGAGACATCCTATCAGAAAATCCATAGTTCATCCTTCTGTTGGATTCAGAAGCACTGATATGGTGTCGTGCCACACCACGATCCATAAAACTTTGGCTTCGTGTCGCAAAGGCTGAAGATCTTGAATTCATCACTGCTGCAGCCATAGCAGCAGATGAATCATATCCACAAGCTGATGATTTTCTTACAGGAGAGGAAACAAAGTTATTGATAGGATAACTTGCTTGAACATGGTTCCTGTTTTGGTTCGACCGAAGCCTATTCATTGATTGCAATTGAGTAGGAGTTGATGGTTGCATTGAAACACCCTGTAACAGGTCCGTTTCTTGATACAAATCTCTTGCACTCAAAGCACTTTTCAGCTGCCTATTAGGAAGCTGCAAGGAAGGTGGAGTAAGATTGATTTTATTCTGCCACAAGTTTTCACTGTTGGGAGATGAAGCAGCTACCATTAATGAAGATATAAGTGGAGTTGAAACATTTGAAGTTGGTAAAGACTCTTGTGAAGGCATAGCTGAACCAGTAGAAGCATACAAAGGCCTCAACTCTTCATGTTTGTGTGCAAAGAAACACACTTTTCTTGAACATCTTATCTCATCTTTACAAAGCCTTGTTCTGTATTGTAAAGGATGGAGCAAGGACTCAAAAACACCATGTGAATACTCACATGCGTCTTTGTTGTGGCATGTCCCTTTGCGAAACTCGGGACACGGAACACAGCTATAAAGGTACTTCTTCGGATCTCTCCTTCTAGCATTCTCACCTGGATGAACAAATGGACACTCAGTCCAATCATGAGAGTAACCCCTTGAGCACGTCTTCACCTTGAAACTATACATTCTAAACTCATCCGTTCCAAAAACACCGTCGTTTATATCAGGCAATGATATATCCATAGGATATTCTTTCTTCTCACCTACTAATTCTTTTGAATTCACCACTGAAAATTTCTGCTTAATTATTTCATCAAGGGAATTAACATCTGCTCCAGCATCAACCAAGAGCTTAACAATTTCAAGGGTCGATTCAGAGCCACCAGCAATAGCACAATGTAAGGCAGTAACATTTTCAGAACCAGTTGGCGTGTTGACATCAACCATGTTTGTTTCAATGATATATTTCACAACCCTAGTGCTTCCAAACAGAGAAGCAACCATAAGGGGTGTTTTCTTTTCGTAACACATCTTCTTTGATCTAATTTTTCTACAATACCAAAACCCTGCCTCGTTTACATCACAACCCTTTTGTTCTACTTCAGTTTTGAAAGCTTCAATATCATCTGTTGCTGATAATTCAAGTAAAACTGAGGTTTGGAACTTGGTTTCCATGGTTGGGTTGGACCTATGTGTGTGATTTGTTTAGAGATGAAATAAGAAGAGGAAAATGGAAAAGGTTTGAATTGTGAAGGTGAATGAGAGTATCAGGATGCGTGGTCATTTTATAGTGTGAGGTTTTGCAATGGATTAGAAAAAAAGAAGTAGAGAGGAAAGTGAGACTTTTCTTCGTTGCTGTTTCTGAAATCCTACTCAATCTTTGTTGAATCGTGTGCGCGGTCAAAGTCAATAATTCCAAGCTAAAGCGGGACCCACCAAACCAAGTGTTTCTTCTAATCATTGCTCGCTCATGTTCCCATTTTGGTGTCTTCAAAGCCAAATCAATTATAATACTGAATACTTCTATTGTTTAGAAGGGAAAAATCTATTTTAACTAAGTTTAGTTTTGGGTTTGAATTTTTCTCGATTAAAAAATATAGGAACGAGTCGGATAATGAGAACACTAGTATTTATCTCGAACCCGCCTTTGAACATGTCTTGTATATTTTATTGTGTATATTATTATTTTATTTTGTTAATTTAAAATATTAAATATGTAGTCAATGTTTTTATATTTTGATTTGTATTTATTATTTAAAATATTTGAAATATATGTATGTAATATTTTGAGATTGTTTTAGAAAAAAAAACAAAGACCAAAAGGTGAACAAATTGATACTTCATAATTTAGTCTTCAAATGCATCAGTGAAAAAGATAACGCGACACTTATTGCAGAATTTACAAAGGAGATAAAAAATGTTGTTTGGGAGTGTGAAAGGTTGAAATGCCTTGGGCTAAATGGCATAAATTTTGGGTTCATTAAGGACTTTTTAGAAGTAATTAAGGAGAATTTTACCGTAGACTCATTGATTAGTTTCATATGAATGGGAGAAGTGTTAGAAGAGTTAATTATGCGTTTCTAACTTTAATTTCCAAAAGAGACAATCTAGTAAAGCTGAATGATTTTAGGTCAATATCTTTAATAAAAAGTGTGTATAAAGTATTATTAAAATTATTGAAAAATAGATTGAAGGGGGTGTTGAATAAAGTAATTTTAGATTCACAATTTGCTTTCTTAGAAGGTCGTCAAATGGTGGACGGAATATTTGTAGCAAATGAACGGGTGGATGATGCTAAAAGGAGAAAATGAGAAGTTTTGTTATTTAAAGTAGATTTAAAAATGACGTATGATTCAATGGATTGAAAATATTTGAATTTTGTGATAGAAAAAATAGGATTCAGCAATAAATGGATATAATGTATTTTAGAATGCATACGGACTACCATTATGTTTATGTTAGTTAATGGAAGTCCGACAAAAGAATTCGGAGTAAGAAGAGGTTTGAGGCAAGGTGATTGACTGTCACCTTTTCTTTTCTTGATAGCAGAGGAAGGATTTAATTTAATGGTGTCAAAAGGTGTTTAATTGAAAGCTTGTACATGATCAAATCTCTGGTGAATCGACTCTACCTGAAGCAGGCTTTGTATTCATTCAAAATGAGTGAAGACAAAGTGTTGGCTGAGCAGTTGGATATTTTCAACAAGTTGATCCTTGATCTTGAAAATATTGATGTGAAGATTGATGATGAAGATCAAAAACTATTGTTATTGTGCGCTTTGCCTAGAACACATGCTCACTTCAAAGAAACTCTCTTATATGGAAGGGAGTCCCTGAGCTTTGAAGAAGTTCAATCAGCCTTGTAATCTAAGGACTTGAACGAACGAAAGGAGCATAAACCTTCGGTGGTTGGTGAAGGTTTGGTCGTTAAGGGAGAATTCTTACGAAAGGATGGTAAGTTCGACAAGAAGAAATGTAAAAGTCAGCAGAAGTCTTATAGTGGCAAGGAATCTTGTATTCGATGTTATCACTGTAAGAAGGAAGATCACACGAGAAAGGTGTGTCCTGTACGCCTGAAAGATCATGGAGGTAAAGATAATGGCAATGCAGCCATTGTTCAAGATGACTTCGAATCATCTGTTGTTCTTGTGGTTTCAAGCGGCGACTCAAGAAATGAGTGGATTATGGATTCCGGTTGCACTTGGCACATGACTCCAAAAAGAAAATTGTTTGAGGAGCTATGTGAGCAAGATGGTGGATCAGTGTTGCTGCGAAACAAAAAATCTTGCAAAATTGCAGGTATTTGATCTATGAGGTTCAAGCTCCATGATGAGTCAATAAGGTTATTGATTGAATTCAGGTATGTACCTGATTTGAAGAGAAATTTAATTTCTCTTGGTGAATTTGACAGGAAGGGATATGTTTTTCAAGGAGAGAAAAGTACCCTAAGAGTCATGAAGGGGTCGAAGGAAGTCTTGAGAGGCGTGAAGAAAAAAGACTTGTATACCATTGAGGCTGAAGTTGTAAGTGGTTCGACAAAAGTTGCATCCACAAAAATGTTGTTGAAAACAGAAATTTGGCACATGAGATTGGACCTTGTCAGTGAAAGGGGTCTGGTCGAATTTGGGAAACAAAACCTGCTTGGAGGAGACAAAGTCGAAAAGCTAAAAATTTTTGAACCTTGTGTACTTGGAAAATCTTGCAGAGTGAAGTTCAACAAAGGCAAACAAAGAACTCATGGATCCCTTGATTACATCCATGCTGATCTTTGGGGGCCTACAAGGTGTCCATCACATTCAGGAGCAACGTATTTTCTATTCATATTAGATAATTATTCCAGGAAGTTATGGGTATTCATCCAGAAGAATAAGGATGAAACTTTTGAGAATTTCAAAGGTTGGAAGACTCTGGTAGAAAATCAGACTGGCAGAAAGGTCAAGAGGTTGAGAACCGACAATGGCCTTAAATTTTGCAATAAGGCGTTCGACAGTTTTTGTGTTGCCTTAGGTATTACAAGGCACAAAACTACTGCATGGACTCCACAACAAAATGGTTTGGCAGAAAGGTTTAATCAAACTATTTTAGAAAGAGTTAGATGCATGTTGACTATTGCTGGGTTAAGGAAGGTGTTTTGGGCTGAGGTTGTTTCGACAGTAAAATATCTGATAAACAGATGTCCTTCGACTGTGTTAGATATAAAGACACCTAAAGAAGTTTGATCGGGACATCCACCTAGTCTCGATAAACTGGGAGTATTTGGCTGCGTGGCCTATGCTCACATTAGGCGAGACAAGGTCGAACCTAGAGCCCTGAAATGCATGTTCATGGGATACCCTGAAGGAGTTAAAGCTTATAATCTATGGTGCCTAGAGTCGGGTCATAGGAGGTGTATCACCAGTCAAGATGTAGTTTTTAATGAAGCAGAGATGGCTTTCAAGAAAACTAATGATGCTGACGAAGAGTTAGAATAGGGAGAGATTCATGTTGAGGCGGAGCATGTTGATGTTGAGTTACATACCCCATATGAAGTCTAAGAAGAAGCAAAAACTGATGTCGAAGATGAGGAGACTGATAATGATATCTGCTAGCAAGAGGCAGGTCGAGGAGAGTCATCAAGCCACCTCAGAGACTTAGGTATACAGATCTTATAGCTTATGCCTTAATCTCTGCAAGTGAGATTCTCGATGAAGAACCTAGAGACTATAAGGAAGTTATGAGGAGTCAAAAGAAGATTGAATGACTGAAGGCAATAGATGGTGAGATGAAATCTCTTCATGATAACAACACCTGGGAACTGACCAAGAAACCTGCTAGAGCCAGGTTAGTCAGCTGTAAATGGATTTTCAAAGTTAAGGAAGGAATCAGAGGATTGGCATCGAAAAGATACAAGGCAAGATTGGTCATTAGGGGTTTCACTCAGAAAGAAGGTGTCGACTTTAATGACGTGTTATCTCATGTCGTGAAGCACATATCCATTTAAATATTGTTTGCCATGGTGGCATCGTTTGACCTTGAACTAGAACAGATGGATGTGAAGAATGCATTCTTGTATGGTGATCTAGATGAAACAATCCTGATGAGGTAACCTGAAGGGTATGTCGAAAAGAGGAAGGAATATTATGTGTGCAAGTTGAAGAGATCCTTATATGGATCAAAACAATCTCACCGACAGTGGAATAGGAGATTCGACAAGTTCATGGCACGCATAAGTTTCATTAGAAGTCATTTCGACCACTGTGTTTACTTCAGACTTCGACCTGGTAATTCATTTTTTATTTTGTTGCTTTATATAGATGATATTCTAATAGCAGGCAACAATGTCGAAGATATAATGAGCGTGAAGGCTGAACTTAATAAGGAGTTCAACATGAAGGATCTGGGAGTTGTGTCTAAGATTCTTGGGATTGACATCTAAAGAGATAGAAAGCAGTTGAAATTATGCTTATCTCAAGAGGCATATCTACAGGAGATTCTCGAAAAGTTTGGTATGTCAAATTCAAATCCTGTTGTGACTCTAAAAAACCCCCAACTCAAGCTAAGTATAGATCAGTGTCCTAGTACTGATGTCGAAAGAGCTTATATGAATAGCATTCCATATGCTAATATAGTGGGATCTTTGATGTATGTTATGGTCTGTACTAGACCCGACATAACATATGCAGTAAGTCTTGTAAGTAGGTATACGGTGAATCCCGGAAATGCTTACTGGAAAGCATTGAAGTGGATTCTAAGGTACATAAACGGGTCTCTAAATAGAGTCCTAATTTATGGTGAAGCCCTGGGTGAAGATAGTAAAGCAGCAATTAAAGGATATGTCGACTCAAATTATGCAGGTTGTATGGATTTCAGAAAATCTATTTCTGAATATGTGTTCACTATGTTTGACACATCAATTAGTTGGAAAGGAACACTTCATAAGGTTGTTGCCTTATCAACCACTGAAGCAAAATATATCGCCCTAACTGAAGCTATGAAGGAAGCATTGTGGCTTGAAGGTTTTTCAAAGGAGTTGAAACTTCAAGGTCGAGTTGTCACTGTAAAATGTGATAGTCAAAGTGTAATACACATGTCGAAGAATTCAGCCTATCATGAGTGAACCAAACACATTGACATGAGGCTGCATTTTGTCAGAGGGATAATCAAGCATGGAGAAATCCAAGTGCTAAAGGTTTTAAC